GGCTTTGGGCCGCTCATCAGCCGCTGGTCACACTGCAGAGGTACTACACCATCACAGGGCTTTGAACTGTCCATCAGCCGCTGGTCACACTGCAGAGGTACTACACCATCACAGGGCTTTAAACTGCCCATCAACCGCTGGTCACACTGCAGAGGTACTACACCATCACAGCGCTTTGGGCCGCCCATCAGCCGCTGGTTACCCTGCAGAGGTACTACACCATCACAGGGCTTTGGGCCGCCCATCAGCCGCTGGTCAGACTGCAGAGGTACTACACCATCACAGGGCTTTGGGCCGCCCATCAGCTGCTGGTCAGACTGCAGAGGTACTACACCATTACAGGGCTTTGGGCCGCCCATCAGCCGCTGGTCACACTGCAGAGGTACTACACCATCACGGCGCTTTGAACTGCCCATCAGCAGCTGGTCACACTGCAGAGGTACTTCACCATCACAGGGCTTTGGGCCGCCCATCAGCCACTGGTCACACTGCAGAGGTACTACACCATCACAGCACTTTGGGCCGCAAGACACTATAAGAGCCCTGTGTGCCTCACCAGTAACCAGAGAGAAAGGTCACCCTGTTAACCCTGTGACATATTTGAAAGTACAGAAATTGGTGGGTTTTCTTGTCCTGCGTCTAGGTGTAAACGCTCCCCCCAGCTTGCTGCTCTTTGGTCATCTGTGATGGATGAATGGATGAAGAGAGAGGGAGAGAAAGAGCAACTTGCCTAAGAGTCACTGCTGGCGCTGAGCACCCGCCACGTGGGCTGGGTTCCTCCATTAGTGCAAGTCACGGTGCACCCCCTTATCGGGCTATCAGTGCCGGGCCCTATCTGTGAAGGACGTGGCACAGCCCTCCCCCAACCGGCCCACCCCCAACCGGCCCACCCCTGCAGTAGCAGAACACGTGGAGGCCATGCAGTCAATAAACACTGCAATCTAATGTCAACCGACAGATCACTCGGGGTCTGAACTATCCCCAGGTGGACAAGTAAGCACCCTAAGGATAACTTTCACAAAAAAAAAAAAAAAAACAGGGGGGAGGGGCTCTGAAAATTAACATGCGTCTCCCTTTTCATGACACAACGATGAAACGGTGACAGACTGGGCAGGTAACTAGGGCCAAGCACAGGGGTGGCAGGTGAACCATACTTAACAGTCACCTGGTAGCACTGCAGATCCTGCGGCAGAGCTGCGGGGGAACAAAGCCGCAAATGCAAACCGAAACGCGCTGTGCGAAAAGGGCACAATAAAAAAGTGTTAGCTTTATTTCCAACGATACAGACAAACTTTACAAAGCTACACACCAAAAACCAGCTTTCACAAATATTTAATTGCGGGGATCGTCAACCTGCCCGCACACGGACAGACGTGTCCACGGCGAAAGCTATGCTTTTAAATACCACGTTCGCAGTAGAAACTGAATTTTGATCGCATCGTCAGTCAGGATGGTTGGCCCCTGTTTACTTACGCCATTGTTTTGTATAGGCGCACGTGTATAGTACGTAATGCAGCAGGCAAAAATAATTTTAAAGGATAGAAGGGGATCATTGTTTCCATTAGAGAATTTATCTCACTCATAAACTGCGCACAAAGGCGCGGATAAAACGCAATGCTCGGTTCTCCAGGCGCAAATACAGGATAGTACTCAAATTAATTAAAATTCCACATTGCAGTGAATGCTGCACGTTGTACAGATATGTAAAATGTATACTCCCCCAAAAATGCCGTCTTTCTCCCGGGAGGTGGTATTGTGGGATAAATGTATCAGGATTTGTGTAGAAACATAAAAGCAAACAGATTTCCGATTTCCTCCAGCATTGATGTTTTATAAATAAATACTGCCTAAATAATACATTTCAGACATAATAAACAAACAATCTGTGGTGACATAATAACATTACAAGAGAATACAGCACTCACGCGGCTTCCTGTCAGTTTCAGTGGAAATAAAACACATCCAGATTCAAAGAAATATTTCTTATTCCGTTGTGCATTCTTGCAACTGAACCATTTTATTAATGGACGTTTTTTAAAATCCAGAAACTGTCACTTACCCGACGAGGGAAAACACGCACCTTGAAACTACAAGGAATTTCACGCTTCCTGAGCAGTAAGAAAAAGGTAATCAGACTTTATAGTCACTGGCCTGCTTTTATCTTACAAGCGCCGATTAGCTAAATACTTACTGCATCTTACACACACTTTAACGCAACTAGACGTCAGAAACGGATCAAGTCACAGTCACAAAACAAAGTTTACCTGCTGGTTGTGCAACTTACTTTTGTCCTACCGTTTATTTTGTAGTTTCCCAGTTTGCCGTTACAGTGTCTGACCAAATCGTCCATGCGACTCATCAGGAAACTTATGCGCTCGCAGCCGGGCTCCTTTCCTTCAATCCACGTTATTTTGTCCCCGCGTATGTCTTTGGAAGAGTCACTTCTCTGGCTGACCAGCTGCCCGTCGGTGAATTTGCCAGTCTTGTGAAGGGCTATCACGTCCTGCAAAATCGACATCCCGGTCTCTTCCCCTAAAAAACTGTCCACGACGCACATGCCGTGCTTGTTCATGCATGGGATTATATACTCCGTAGCCAGTTTCCGCGGATGGGACTTCATCCGTCCGTTAGGTTTATCGGCGTTGTTGTTATTGGTCCTGTCTCCGCTTTGCCTGTCACATGCACTTCCCGCACATGTGATACACTCGACGGTTTTCTCGCCGCTCAAAGCGCTAGGGGCAGCCGGGCTGTCCAGCTGTGTTGAGGGCTTCTGCGACGTCTGCGGTGCCGCTTTCTCGTCCGCGCTCTCATGCTGCGATCTGGGCTTCGGCGAAACCCGAGTTATCTCGGCCTCCTTACAGTTGAGCCGGTGGTTTTTCCAGTCTTCCACCTGATGCTCCTTGCTGCAGTAGAAGGAGCTGCGACAGCGACCGCATTTAAGCAGGTTCTCCATCTTCCCGCACAGCTCGCAGTACTGGCGGTCCGGGTCCCGCTCCTGCTCCGCCGCTCCTTGCATGGCTGCGGAGTTGGGCGCTGCCCCCTTTTAAACTCCCAGATCTCCACGCGTCTCGCTCCTCTCGAGTCTGGAAACGTTCTGTCGCCTGCCCCGGCGCGACAGGCAAATGGGGAAAAGCCGCTCTCCTCCGCTTCAGAACCACGAAGTCGCATCACACATGACTGTTGGTCCCAGTGACGGCTGACGGTGACACGAGAGGCGAGCGCCCGGACTCCGGACCGCCGCTGAACTGCAGAGCGTCGCGTGGCGCCGCTGGCTTCATTCTGCACGTCGGCGGCACAGACCCAGCCCCCGACGTCAGCCCGCCACGGGAAGCGCCCTCCTCGCTCCAAGCAGCGGCTCATGCACAGGCGGCAGCGCCGGTCCGGGGTCCTTGCAGCCCTAGTTTTGATTTCCGCCAACAGAACTAAAGGAAATATATTAATACTCAGGGTTACTTTAAGAATGCCGGTTGTACGCTGAAAAACATAACAAAAAAAGTTTTGATGTACACCATAAACCTAAGAACTGAGTCTATGTTAAAAACGTTCCAACATTGCCCCCTGGTTGTCGAGAACGATTTTAGTAATCACTTGTTTTTGCTCAAGTGTGTGGCGTGGGTTAATGTTGATAAAAAAACACATTACTAACTATTCAACAAGCTATTTCATGTGGATGTATGGATGTTTATCCGGTTAATTCATATTATTTAAAACATAATATTTAATGGGTAATTATACATATATTAAATCTACAGCAATAGATAAGAACGCAATTAAAATAGATAAAACAGAAGCAACGTTCAGCTGGATCATAAACGCCTTAAGAGTTTTAAAATACATTAATACGCATACGAACGTGTAACGCTTGAACTAGTAAAATACATTTCCCAGAGTGCCCCTTGCTTTTACGTATTTGTCCAGCGCAAGGCCCAAACTGGAAAGAGAAGCAATGTGCGGGCCTGCTCGAAAACGTTACATAGATTTATTGTAGTTCTCAGTTAAAGCCTGTAAAGATTTATTAATTGTCATTATTTTGCATCATCACTATTATAGAAATATATCGTTATAATACAGGTGGATGTCTTACCTTTTATTATCGCACAAACAAATTAGGCATTTAAAAAGATGGCATCCATGTGAAATATGGCTCTATCTGGATCGTTCTCAACTAAACAGTAGTCCTTGTTGCAGCGACAGAAATCTCGTTAATACCTCGTGAATATATTACATGAAACTGATAGAAGTGTGTTTAAGTCATGAATGCGAAAGGTAACACACAATGAAAATGTTAAATTTTGAAACCAACCCACCATTTTGAGAAGCATGATTACTGAATTTGCGACTGTTGCTATATGCATTTAATGCATTTTGAAAACAAAAAGATTGTTGAATACCTTAATTGCCCGAAAGACCTCAGATGCATAGACGAAAAGTTTATAATTATAGCTCTGTAACAAATAGAAATATTCTAAGGTATTGTGCTAGTTGGATATTTGTGAGATTGAGACGCTAGCCGGTGCACGAAACAGTTTGTATTTACATATGTATTTCAATCCTAAATGGCTTTATGACTTAAGTACGTAACTAGAAACCAGATTAAATATTTATGAAATGTACACAGTAATACCAGTTTCTTAAAATGTATCAAATTTCGAAAAACAAATGTTTCTTTTTGACAGTTTATATATGCAAGATTTGGGTAGAAATGCTTAGCATAAATGCACTAAATCGTTCCGCAATCAGATGGAGGTTCTCGCAAACGGAAACAAGACTCTGCACAGAGCCAGAAAACTGAAGGTCATGAAAGTGATGACATCTCATCGTGCCCACTGATATCAGCCTTCAAAAGTAAGACCTTCTACTAACTGTAATTATGTTAATAAATAATCCGGTCAAATATATCTGTTCAAATCAAATGACGATAATAATAAAACAAATTATAATGGTATTATAGATACTTGTGCTTTAAACAAGTATTATTTTATTTGCATGCAGTTACATTCCTAACTTTTACCTTTATTTCCCTGTTGTTATATTGCATGCTTATTAAAATATAGTTTTGTGAAGTCAGAGTGAAGAGTGAATTCAGCTAAAGTGAACACAGCCAACCATATCATAATCACAGGAAATATGACGTAGGGTTTTTGTAATGTTCAGATGTTTTTAATAAAGTGGTGTATGTTAAAGTACACAGGATTTATTTATTTTTATTTTCATTATGGAATCAATATCGACAATCATAGAATTTCACTGGTATTGGAACTGACAACCAAATTTCTGCTATCTTGACGTCCCTACCATTAACTACTATGCAACATATCATAAAATGTAATATTTGAAGTTTAAAAGAGTGTTATAAATCAACAAATTGGTTCTTCTATGCTTTGGTTGGATTTTCAAAAATTTTCAACAACCCCACTCGAACCCAGACAGCACCTAAGCCCTCTGAACACCCAGGGAAAATACTAGTGTACATTAGGGTTAGATTCTAAATGATGCCTGAACTATACTCAGGCTTCATTTTTATGAAATGATTCCATTCATCAGTGACAAGATTTCTTATTCTTGATGAAGCGTTTCAGCTGGAACTGGACACCAAACATGACAAATATGAGCGTCTGGTCAAAATAAGCCGCGACATCACCATCGAGAGCAAGAGGACGATTTTCCTGCTCCACAGAGTAACCAGGTGTGCATTGATCACTCTGTGTGATGTGTTAGGTTGGTAAAAATGCCCTTTAGTTGGGTGTATGCCTAGCTAATGATGACCTGTGTCACTCTGGTGTTGCAAGAACGTGAACGGGATTGAAAAGCAAGTCCTAAGCGAGGCTTGCATGGGGCAGTTAAGTCACATCCTGTGATAATGAAGCGATTTGGCCACCTTTTTGAAATTTGAATCAAAAAAATAAAATTGAAGCAGCTTAATGCTGTGGTATCTAAGGACCAGGATATCCAGAGCAATAAAGTGATTTATCCCGCACATACATACATAATGCTCAGCGTGTCCCTGCCTGCTTTGTGAGGCTTCAGAACATGCTTCCTCTCGCCCAGTGTCCCCTCCACGGAGGAATTGCTTACCGAGTCGGAAGTGAAGCTGGACGGCGTGAGGCAGAAGATCAGGCAGGTTGCCGAAGAGCTGAGAGGGGAGGATCTGTACCAGTTTCACAGGGCCTTTACTCTGGGTAAGAAGGCGTCGCCTGGGGGGTCTTATCAGCAGACATCCCTGTTGGTAATTGTGGAAAAGTGAAATGCATTGTGGGTATTTAAAGTTACGTGACCCTTAGATTCGCCTGAAACGACCCCAGATTGAACTTTCCCGTTACGATCTGAGTTAGTTTTTTCTTCAGGGCAGACGTGTTGGCTGCCAAGTTTCAAAGGTAATGTTATGGGGGTTTTTTTTCTGTCATCGTTGCAGTTATCTGAGAACTTTGGAAGTCATTTTTAGATTGCGGTCACACTGAAATTGCCAGCGTGTCCCGTTGAACGTGACCGGCAGCAGGTCCCATCAATAAAGGCTTTTAAATTCTTTCTTACTCGGAATCAGCCCCCCCCCCCCCCCCCCTCCCCGCCCAAATACACTCCGGAACACGCAGTGCTCACTAAGAGATGTGGCGCTTTGTAATGTAAACTTCTACCATCCTATGCGCTGTGTCTGCACAACTTCTAAAAGCACTAGGTGCTACATAATTGTAGATATTCGGCAGAGTGGAGAAGAAGACATTGTATTGTTGAATCAGAATTGAGGTTAGTAGTGTTTTGTGGTGCTTTTTGCTTTATCCAAGACTGTGTATCACCTGGGGTTTGGTATCAGCCATTTTCTTATTATAATGATGATTTTTCTTTTGTATATCATAACCCTCTTAAATCCCCCCCCCCCCCCAAAAAAAAAAAATAAAAATTACCCCTTAGTCACCTGCTAAATGATTGATAAAAATATTTTTGGATGTTTTCCCTCTAAATTCAATGGCATTCCCTCAGCCTGTAGAGGCATCTTTGGTGTAAAATGAGTTCGGTCTGCAAATTTAAAGAAAGGGAGGTGGAGGAGGTGAAACACACAGCGGGTTAAGGCTTCATGCGTGTGTTTGGAAGGTAGAATAGCATCTCCACTGGGAGCCTGATGAAGGCCTTTAAGCTGCGAGAGCCTCCAGGGCTGAGCCTGGGGTCCCTGGCCTCACTCTCGGCTGTGTTTATGTGTGTGTGCACGTCTCAGGTGAGAGCGAAAGGTGAGAAATGCGAAAATAAACAGTCTGACATATCTGTACTCATATGTGTGCAAATGGCAAATAAAAGATAATTAAATTAAGTTTTACTTACGACGCTGCTCACTGCTGTGATCTGTGAATGTGACGCGATACTGCAGGATTTTCGCTAAGGGTGTGACTTGTGATGTGAAACAGGTGGGAGTAAGGTGGGGTAAGGGGACACGCACAACAGAGGTGGGTCACCCCCCCCGGCATGGTGTGGGTCACCCCCCCCTGGCATGGTGTGGGTCAACCCACCCCGGCATGGTGTGGGTCAGCCCGGTCACACGTACAACATGGTGCGCTTCTGCAGCTAAGCATGGTTTCTCCTGGATGGATCACAGAGTGGGTTTCTCAACCTTAAACCTCTGCTGGCTTCTCTCACACAATTAATTCTAGGGAATGACTTTCAATCAGATTGATTTGAGTCAGTCGTGTGAAATTGTCATGCTTTGCGGGCAGTCATTTTTCCTTACCCTTTGATGTGACTGAAACGGGTCAAAATTACATTTTCCCACTGATGCCTGAGATGTAGTTTCTTTTCAGGGTCGAAGTCTTTGTCTGCCAAGTTTTTAAGTAAACATCACTGATAGGTTTTTTTTTTTTTTGCTTTTTAGTGGTTATCTGAGAACCGTGGAAGTCATTTTTAGATTACGGTCAGCGAGGAATTACCAGCGCGAGCCGATTGACGTGACCGGTGGCAGTTTCCAGCAATTATGGACTTTTCCTTTAAATTTTATCATCGTTATTAGATTCTCCCATAAGTGCACAGCCACACCAGGGATATTACTCTTGGCTGATTTTAAAAATAAACAAGGCGCCTGGGTTCCGTGTTCACAAGTCACGTTTAACAAGCTTGTTTTGGTTTAAAAGCATACTAAGATAAATTTGCACGTAATTCTCACTGATAGGTCTGGGATGTATCACATCAATACAAGTGCTGGTCTGGGGTCAGTCTGAGGCCAAGAGTCGGCTCTTCATCTGATCTCCCAGCTCGCTCCGGTTCACTGGACCCGTGGGAACTTCTCCGGATTCCGAAAAGCCAAGGAAACATTAAAGGCAGCATGGAGCCAGTTCTCCCCTCCGTACATGACCGGCAGCCATGTTCTATGGAAGATTCTCTGGTTGTCATGGTAGCACCTTTTATAGCCAAAAGGTTGAAAGTTTGGGACCCGGCTGCCATTACATGCGTAGGAGAGACTCTGTAGGGTACTTGCAGTTTAATGTGTGGGTGAATTTGAGCAGTGCAAGGCCCCGGAAACCTTCGCCACAGTAAATCTGTGCTGTGATGCAGCCTGGCCTGCAGGGGGTGTCCATCTTGGAATCAAAATCAAATACCTGAGTACAGGCTGTTTTGCTCCCTGTTAAATGTTGGCCATTTGGAGGCTGTTTGAGCGATGGAGATGGGGAAATGGCGGACAGTGCAAGGTGATGACCTGGTGCTGGCACCCGGTGGATGGTAGCTTGGTCTGCTGCTCGGACGTGGAAGAGGCCGCGAGATGCTTTGAGGGTGAGGTGGAAAGTTGGGTGGGAGGATGGGGAT